AGACAGTGTTACCACGGTGACAGACTCCCTTAAGACAGACAGACTGTGTTACAATGTAGACAGACTCTGTTACCATGGTGACGCACTCTGTTTCTATAGAGACATACTCTGTTACCACGGTGACAGTGTTACCACGGTGACAGAGTGTTACCACGGTGACAGAGTGTTACCATGGTGACGCACTCTGTTTCTATGGAGACATACTCTGTTACCACGGTGACAGTCTGTTACCACGATGACAGAGTGTTACCACGGTGACAGTCTGTTACCACGGTGACGCACTCTTGTTACCATGGTGACAGAGTGTTACCACGGTGACGCACTCTTGTTACCACGGTGACAGAGTGTCACCACGGTGAGCCTCTGGTTTCACTGACCTCTCTTTCAGAAATGGTTACACTATTGGCAGAAGAAAACATTAAAACGGAGTCAAATGAATGCAGACAAGCCCCAGAGCCGTTTGGAAGTCATGTCAGTTGTAGTTTTTCAAATTATTGTAGAAAGAAATAGCAAAATGTGTCTGTAAATACAAACATAAGATATTTTGAGCAGTCAATCGGGGCAGTATGGCACCAAAATTAAATTATTTAGTTAAAAGTATTTGTGTTCAGGACCAAGTAAAGCAGAGCGGCTACAAGCCTGAAACCATGAAAGCTTTCTTCTTGTGTCCAGCTCTTCGATCAAGGATGAATCATGACTCTAATAAATAATACATGGACACGCACTGTGGTTTGGAGATGCTGCAGCATGTGGGCCGGAGGGATGAAGGTCCCTGCAGCTAGCTCACAGGGTGAGAGTCACAGCACGTGGAAGTTAGACACGACAAATGTGAAAAAAGTTCACTTGAACCCTTTGGAGGCAGTCGGAGTGACACCGCCTGTCTGTCGAGGTTCAGCATCATTACAGAACGCATGGCATGCCTTTAGCGCCACCGCTAAGCTAACGCAGCTAACCTTGGAGAGAAACGCGTCCCTTAATGTTTACACCAGTAAAATGTTTGTTTGAATGAGAGCTGAAAGTGTTCCTCACCGGTGCAGAAGAAGTGATTCCTATGGCGGTTGTCCAAGCCTGGCGCGTGCCCTCTGAGCAGCTGATGACAGTTAGCCTAGCTTAGCTTAGCGGAGCTGCTGGAGACAGGGCAGGATGAAGGAGACGACCTGCTACTGAGCATGCGCAGTACCGGGGAGCCGGTAAGCGTCAGCGTGCGTCTCTTCGCCTGTCGTTAATACTTTTATTGGTCTGCAATAAACATACAAGGCTGTATTAAAACACCATGGTAAGAATGGTAATTAAAAAATAACCAAAAAAACTACTCATGCCTACTTCCGGTTCTTTGAAATACATTTCGTCTAAATATTCATATCAACCGGATGACATTGTGATCTGTGATGAGAGCAGGTGGAAGAGAGCTTGGAGAGGTGGAGGTATGCACTTGAAAGAAGAGAAATGAAAGTCAGCTGTAGTAAGACAGAGTCCATGTGTGCGAATGAGAGGGAGGAGGTGGAACAATGAGGCTACAAGGAGCAGAGGTCACAAAGGTGCAGGACTTCAAGGACTTGGGGGGCCACCTGTGGCTTCATCTGGTCGTGATCTACAGCTTTCGCTGGAGCGATTCGCAGCCAAATGTGAAGGGACTGGGATGAGGATCAGCGCCTCCAAGTAGGCCATAGTCTTGAGCTGGAAAAGGGTGCCTTCTCCGGGTTAGGATGCCTCCTGGAGACCTCCCTGGTGCTCTGGGTCCCACCGGGTGGAGATCCCAGAGGACAGAGGATGATTCAGAAAAAAGGTTTGTAAGCTCAACCTTTGTTGTTATCTGGATGATTGAGCTATAAACCATTTTATCAATTCAATGCAGTTTATTTTTATAGATCCAAGTCACAACAGAAGTCGTCTCAGGGACTGAACAGAAACATTCATCTATAAAATAATTTAACAGAAACATTCATCTATAAAATAATTTAACAGAAACATTCATCTATAAAATAATAATTGAACAGAAACATTCATCTATAAAATAATAATTGAACAGAAACATTCATCTATAAAATAATAATT